TAGTGGATAGGGTGGACAGAAGAATATATTAAAAGGGAAAAAAACGCATGAAATGTGTGGTGTTTCCGTTTTAACCATCAATGTCTTTTTTAAAAGATAGGCTGAGATCACCACAAATATTCTTCATATGTAGTGGCAAACTAGGCATCTTTGTTAATGCTATAATGGGGCAGCTGTTAAGGGATTCCGATGAAAAAACTGACTGCGTAGGCACAATAAGGTTTCTGAAAAAAACGTGGGATGTTTGCAGTAACTAAACGAGCCCTTAAGAAATTGAAATAACTCAGAAGGGCGGTCAGTAATAAAAGATATATTTTTTAAGGCGTGATGTTGCATGTAAGAATTGCGTTCAGCGGCTTGTCGATTGAAACTGTTCTTCGAAGGGTTTTATCCTGGCACCATTACTGTGGAGCACCATAAACGGCGCCATTCTGTTATCAATCTGTCTTTCTACAGAAAAGTTATTACCCACACATCACGTCAGCAATACAAAATAAACAACTAAAAAATCAGAAGAGCTAGGAAAATGTGCAAATGAGAAGCTGTTTGAAGTGGCGTAGTACCATTTCCAGCACCGACGGTTTTAGAAAAAGTAAGAAGAGATTCCCTGTGTGTCCGTAGTTGTTCTTCGTGAACATGTAGTCACACGCAAGCTAGAACTGATATGAGAACAAGACACATTAGTTCGACTTTTGCCATGCTACAGCAAAGCAATATAAGATCAAATTAATAGTGATCTTGATTGGATCTAGAGCATTTTTCGGGCTTCCAGTACGACCTACTCTAGGCATGGCAGTACCGTGCAAAAAGGCTATGTAGGAAAACTCCATACACTATTGTGGTAAGAATGGCGTCGACATATCGATTACTACGCATGCCGCTGCCATAGATCCTTTAAATACAGTTTCTTGAGAGCAAAACCTCTGGTAAAAAGTTACAGCATCAGGGCCAGAGGATCTATTATAAAGGCCGCCATTTCGCTTTATTTCGCGATATTAAGCGAAATATTAAGTGTTCGGAGTTGCCCTTCCAGAATCAGCAATGCCTTGTATGAGCCCACTGTCATAAAATCTTTGGAGACGACATCGTTCGGTCAACAACCGGTCGGATGGTTGATGCTACAGCCGCTAAAGGTAATCCATACGTACACAGCTTTGAAGTCACCAAAGCCAGGATAAGAAACTTTAGTGCTGTTCACTGTGAAGATAAAATAGAATAAAATAATGGAGACATTTTTAAAGAAGAATGGGAAGAAAGAAGTTACTCTCAGGCATTGTTATGGTGGAAAACAACGCATTTTCTTTTTCCCAGTTTTGTTCAATTTTTTTAATAGCTCATTGGAATCTTGTTAATTATTTACAGTATACATTACAGATGCTCAAATCAATCAATTAATCAAACGGCAGTAACTTATAGTGCAAGATTCCTATCTGATCTCACCAAACACGGCACTACGTTCTTCGGCGTTAGTCTAGGCTTTACCACAAATTCGGAGCACGATATTTCTATTTGCATGTCATTGCTGTATATGGTTTAGCTTTCATCACATATAATCAATCACCCTGGAAATGACTTGCTTTCGTTGCGTATCTGTACAGTTTCTCAGATGGAAATACAATCGAGTGAATTTTTTTGCATCAGCTCCTATACATCGAGTTGTTTTTCCGAGCCTGTTTTCTTCAAAATATTTACACTTGCTTGGCAATGGTTATTTAATTTTTTGACGATGTCATGACTAATCACGTGTTGATCATGCTCGATTTTCAAAATAATTTTATCAACTTTTTCATAATTGGTCGACTCGACGCTACCCATATTATTTGAGATATATTAGTTTGAAGCCATCTATCTATGAAAATGGTCAATACTTTTTCGACCACCCAATATTAGTAGATAGGAGGATATACACGAAGGTAGATATTAGTAAGTGGAACTGTGAAGATCCCGATTAGTCAGTAAGTCTTCTGTCAGCCTCCGCCTACAAACGGTACAAACATATTAATTCCTACCGAAACAGAGATTAAAACCATTCTTGGTGCGAAAAATTGACGGGATATGCCGCGTATGAACACGCACAAATAAACGAAGTCATCCCAGCGATGACGTCTTAGCGTCGTACAATAGCGCTGGCAAGACGAAGATATTAATGTTTCAAGATAACTGCATTATAACTGAAAAGGAACGCTATAGTATTATTGCTATAAAAATAATAGGCGCCAGAAGCAGATAAACAGCAGACCTAGTCAAGGAATTGACCCGGTATCTAACCCTACTGGATTATGAAAAGCGTATAAAGATGCTCCTCAATGACGTTAAAGACTGCTGCTACGAAAAGGTCAGTTTTTATTTAGCGTTTCTGTCGGCTTGCGAACTTCGCCCGCCTTCGACTGTGGATCGTGGATTTAAGTGCTTACTAGTATCCCACATATCCTGATGCCCGTCCTGCAAGTGCAACAAGTAAAATAATGATAAAGGACGCAGTAACGTAATACCGATTAATTATACAGAAGAGTGTATTCCTGCCGTTGTTTGCAATACTTCCAAGAATAACAACTAAAAAACCTTTGTGGTGAAATGACCTTGTGGTGTACAGTAACAGTTAGCAACTAGCAGCAAGCCTCATGGAGCATCACTTCGTACATCTTGGATATTAAAAATTAGCATATAGAAAATGGAAGTCGTGAAGTTCACAACAGGGGGAAAACTCAGCAAAATCCGACATGCTTCTACTGAACGAAAAGCATTTGAAAACATGGAAAAATACACGCACAGAGGTGTCACGCTGACTCTGAGCGCTTTGAGCCGTTTGAAGCACACATAAAAGGAAGAGGTCAAAAAGCCCTAGTATTGGCATTCTTAATTAGATAGCTATAGAAGATTTCGTTGAAAACAGCGCTTCGTCTCTTTTAGGAGAAAACAAATCCACAGCTTCCTGCGAAGACACAGATGTACTGCAAGAAACTTCTGTCCTCTCATCTTGCTCCTCGGGACAGGGTTACACATACTTTCCTAAAAGGGCTCCCATAAGGCTATATTTCACCTTGGAGAAACGACTCGTGTATCTAATGACAGGTACACCCCCTTTCCCGAAGAATTCTACTCTACGAAGAAACAATACTTACCACCAGGTACAGCCATATACCTCCAGTTTACTAAAAATTATGAAGACAAAATGTTTGACCTTAATTCATAGAATTAAGGCAATAAATAGCTCAAAGTGAAAATAAATATTTAGTATAATACACCGCACACTCAGCAGATGTGCAATTCATGCGTTTCTTCGCTTCTGCTGTAAAACTGATAGTTACCACGATCATAAAAATGCGTGTTTTTGTGAATACTGTAATTTGCTATATCCTAACATTATGCTGATAGCTGCAGTACAGATAACGTCATGTAAAGCTCTTAACAGTTATGAAAAAGAAAATATGCTTTATATAAACTATACAACAACAAAGTCATGTATTTCTTGGTTAGTGAGTATGGTCTCAACGGACTAAGTTCAGCCGTCTTGGGAAAAAAAGCCCTTTGACGAATGTAACCCGCAGTCATGCATTTAAAATCTCCCTTCACAAAGAGATTTTGCGTAAGGACAACGAGAGGTTGCTTGTTCATAGTAGGTCGTTTGAGAACGACTAAAAATTGAATAGAAATCGAAAAATATGAAAAATATAAAAAACATAGACCGTTTCCATTGAAGTCACCCCTTGAATCTATTTTGTTTATAATAGCTTTGGATTATTCTTCGAAAATCAGTTTGATTCTGCTTATTATTCATTATTTTTGAATAATGTAATCATTTTTCCTGATATTATTGCGGTCTTTATGTTAGCTATCTCTGTGTATTTGAAAATGCAGATATTAATCGCTCTTGAAATGCAAGATTTCACCTGAACTACAGACTCCAAACTAAATGATCCGAAAAAACACAGATAACCAAATGCTAAAGCAGGGAAAAAAAAACGTTAGGTTTGTACTAAGCACTCGACAAGTAATAGACAACGAAGCACAATTTATATAGCCGTGAGAACTTACTCGACAATTTAATACGTTCGGTATCAAATTAATCAAGATGAATACTGGTCGGGTGAAATTTATGTGACTGAATACTTATTCAGTCACATAAATTTTACCTGTGGCTCAAGTGGCCATGTATACTTAAATGTCAACTTTCAATCCAATTTTTTGGAATCATTGGGCAAAATTTTCTTACATTTAAGGTTACGGGAGGAATAAGCAAATGCCGTTCAACTTTTCTAAAACACCGCGTTTGAAGAGGCAACTACTTTGAGCGTAGTGTCGCTTTGGAAATGGAACTGAATCAGCATAAAGTATGAAATGTTAAAAAGAAGGGACTAAAATATGAGTAAGAGTCAAGTTTACAAAAATGTCGTTTTTAGGATGGACTTGAGATATTGAAACCAGTTTTTTTCAAAGGTTTTAGAGGCACGATGGAATTTTAAAAAATCGTGCTTGCCTATGCTGTGACTTTGCTACGTTATACCAAAGCTAAAAAGTTTTAAGAAAATGAGTCAAGTTTATCTGTCTAAAGTAGGAATTTGAGAATCTTTCTTTGTTAAAATGTGTATGCAATACTCTGTGCATTTTCTTACATCGGAATGATGCCAAAAATTTTGCGAGAATTTTAGCTAAAATAAATCGTAGAGGTATCGAGCACGCAGCTTATCAAGATTCCAAAATTCCAAAATTAAAAATGGCACGTTTGTGTCGGTTTCTATATAATTTCATTCATACAACTACATTACAAAAAATTGTTTTATACCCACACTGTCTATCACTTGCTAAGAAAACAGATGCAAATTCAAGTAAATTTCAAAATTTGGCTGATCATTTGTTTTCACGGTATTTTTCGCGGAAAGTTTTCATAATCTTCTGTGTGATTACATGCGATACCCAATTAGTACTTCGAACGCTATAACATATCTAGAGCGAATGTAAATATCTAAAATATCAATTAAAATTTAAAACAAAGAGCTTACCCGTCCACAATTCAATTCGGTAGCTTGAAGTGTTAGTGTCGGCTATGTATTTGTAGAAAACGAGTGTGCTTATACAGAAAATCAAGAACAAAAATCCAACAAGCCTGCGGGCTGCAAGCCGGAACTCTTTTGATGTCACTGATGTGTGAACAACGTGCAACCTGAAATTAGATTAGTTTAACTCAAACTGTAGTTGCAATGGGCAAGAAACGTTTTTTTTTTTACATATTTATGAGTACCGTGCAGCTTATCACTACGTCTGAAAAGGTCCTATACACAGGGTCAATCAACCGAATTTCTTTTCAAAAAGGAAGTAAGTAAAGTCGCAGCCACGAGGAAAGTAATGCGTTTCATTGGACATTGAGCGAAGACCAGCAATTACCTAATCGCTTTACACTACACGAACTTCCCATCAAAATTAAAAACTTCTTTTTTGTGTGAAATCAATGGCCTATGTTATTGCCAGTTTTTATGAAAGTCTTGAAAAATTTCGGTGCTGTAAACCGAAGTATGCACGATACGGTTTAAATTAGAAAAGTCTGAAAACATATTAAAATGGCGTAAAACGCCATTCCTGATAAATCAACATTTTTTATATAGAAACTGGAAGGTCTTTTCGAGAGAAGAGTACCTATTGGCAATCAAGTTTTTTAGATAAGCTCTGACGGTTAAATTTTCTGAGACTTTTTTGAGCCCCTTTGTACTTTTGATCTGTTATCAGCTGTGGTTGTTTACGAGTTGCTTTAATTTTCCTGTTGCGAAAATCGCCGCGGGCAGAGTCCAAGATCACGCCTTCTAGTTGCCGATTGAGAGAACAAGCTCACTCGCCAACGACGTGGATGTACCCCTTCTTTCCCCTTTAATTTCCTATAGTTGTTTCGTCATGACCATTTACAAGGCCCAAATTTAAATGCTCGAAAACATCTTAACGTCGTTCAGGGAAGTACCCACAGTGAACTGTACGTTGTTTTGAATCGGATCCGGGCTTTCGACTATTTCAAAGCCTTCCTGACTGAGAAAGACGACCTACTGTTATGCGCACTGTTCCACAATGACCCGGTTCACGTTCCTTTGCAGCGACCAATAGTTTACACATTCGCATTCAAGAACAATGTGGGCCAGCTTCACACGCATGCTACCTAGACGAACGTATTTCCAACCGCTGTATAAGGCCTCATTGCTCTTTACTTATTACCGATTCTATTATTCATATTCATACCGTTTCGATCTTACGTTGTCAACGTTAGGCTTAGAAGCCTGCGCTCTCTTCACACATAATAACACAACAGTACCGCGGTAGCTAGGTCATGGTAACTTCTACACGGTAACTATTAGTCTGTGGTAGGCCCATACATTCCATTATCTTCCGCAAACAAATCAGATTTAATAAACTGATCAATAGCAAAGTAGGCGCAGAACGGAGCCCGCATGTTATTCTAACACCTATCGATCTATTTATCTGTCCTACTAAATACTGGGTAGCGGGTTTGTTTAACTAAAGTGCTACCTTAAAATAGTCATGTTGGGCTACTTTTTCATGGGTCACTACTGCTTCATCTTCGGTTTGCGCGGAAATAAAGTTGATTGGATGAACTCTTTTCCGGTGGGAATTGTAGGTGAGGTATTTCTTGACACTAATATAAAGTTCTCTATGGTCGAATCGAAATGCATTATATGCTTGATCTAAGTTTGTTTTCGTGTTGAAAATGTCGAAGATTGAGTTCATTTAAAAGAAAGTTTCCTGGACGTCCATTAGTAGACTTAGATGAGCTGAATAAAAATGCAACAGACACATTTTTACCTAAGATGGGTATCTTTTAATGGTAATGGCGAGAATCTTATTATGCTCAATCATAAAGTGAGATGATGAGTTGCTTTCGAACGTTTTATTGAGTGAACTTCTATTAGACATCAATGTAAAAGTTGAAGCGGCTAATGTAAAGTTCATTTTATTGAAAGAAAATCCTTGGTTCATTTTTAGAGAAAAATGTAGAAAACCTAAAAAGATGGAAAAAAACACAAGACAAAGTTAATCTTCGTTTTGAATAGAACATATGAGCATTTCTCATGAAAAAAATTTTAGATCACATTGTAAAAAGTCTCAAAGGCTTGTAGACGTTCCATCAACAGATAAATAGGATAGCCGATTTTAAAAGTCGGGTGCATATTCTACCACGATGATATGATATCAAGCCTCATTTCTTAATTTACGATGCATTTGGCAAGCTAAAATCTAGGCTCCAAATAGAGATCGTGAACGTTACAGATTAACGTTAAAACATGCGCATAATTTCGCTGTATGAAAAACGGTCAAGTCTCGAAAAGGTACCCAAAGTTATACACTTAGATTATACACATGGGCCAATAACAAATGAATCCTCACAGTTACTGTCAAAGTACTTTAGTGTCTTCACATAGCAATTTTAATAATAATGTTCACTTCATAATTTGGACTCATGTGTCTGATAACTGAAAGCACATAAAGGAATCCTCATCGAAGCATTCAAAAAGACTTGCTTACTTAAAGGATTACTCAACGATGTCCATTAGTAGAAGGCTATTAAAGGTGCCAAACAAATACAGATGCGTCAAGCAGACTGCGGTCTCTTCATGATTATGTTAACGATGCCGGTCCATAAAACATATAGAACATTTTTAAGAATGAATTGCTCAAGATTGTAACTTTTTGACTATGGCTACCGTCGACATGATAAAGCTCATAGTAATCTTCAAGTCAATCAAAGGATTTCGGCGAAAAGCTAGAGGATTTTAATCTGCCAGCTCACCGAGGACGCAACCATTCTACAGTAATTACAATACAGCATTACTGAAAAAAAGCGATATCGTAAACACCCACGAGCTACTTTTAAACAAGCAATAAAGAAAGCTATAAGCATATTGGCGAGTGTCTAAACAAAAATAACAGCTTAGTGAGTTTCAATGCTCTGAGGAGGATTTGCGCACTCTCAGTACAGGATAGTAAAGTCAAAAAATATATATTATATATAATACAAGAAAAAAATATCCAAGTTGCAAATTTTCTTCACCCAACAGCATTTATTATCGGAGCGAATGTCTCTTGACCGAACGACAAGCCTTCGAAGTTGTTGATCGGACGCAGTAAAGATGATCCTTTAGGGTATAGTGGTCAGGTAATTTCTGCCAGCTACCGCCAGTGCTCAAACGAGGTAACGATGCAGACATTGAAAATCTATGCAGACACTTATTTCCGAATATATAGTTAAATGATAATGACGTTGGGTACTCTTACTTGTGCGTGGACATTGGCGAGAACAAATTATAAAATAAAATGCTACTGATGGAATTCTACTGCCCATAATTATTGTGTCAGGATTCTACTGCAGAATGTAGTGACATCAATTTTCACTACAATTGTGCTTTGCTATGACAAGTCAGAACAACAGTATAACAATAAAAGACGTCCCATTTCCTTCGAAGATCCCATATTTAGACGCGGTTAACTATGCGGTACTATTGGTCGCATGCGAAGCCCTTAAAAATGTCTAGGTCATTCTTAAAAAGAGTAGCGAAACAAATTATTGTCATTCGTAGTTTCCTGCAATGCAGCCGGAACCCCATTGCTCAATAGTACAACCTTTACATCAATAGCGAAAAAATCATCATCAACAAAAGAATCACAAAACAAAGTCGATATGGGCCCCCCAAAATTATAAAATTAAGAGAATTTTTAAGCATAACAACAAAAATTTTAAAAGAGTAGGAGGTCAATCGACCCTACTTCCATAAAAAAATATTAATAATAAATACAAACAGCTTTTTTGCACATAAATAAGTAAAGAATATGTTCAATACTTTTGTAGGTAAAGAGCAAATACCGCGGGCGTATCTGGTATATCCATACTTATCCATACTCCATATTAAAATCGATACGATTCCGCCCTGGGAATAACAGTGCAGAAAATGAAACAACTGAACAATTATTTTGGACCTTGGAAGAAAAATTTTGCAAATAAAGCATGATGTTAATTTGCTTGGCCATAAACAGACAAGATCAACCCCTTTCTCATGTTCCATGTTTTAAAACAAACTGCAGCATCGTTGAGGAGTATTACGGCGGGTACCAGCATAGTCCGTGCTAATTTAAAAAGTGTATAACTGTGTTCTATCTGTGTTCACCTGCCTATTCGAAATATCCTTTTGCTTTTAGGAAGGAAACCTCGTGATACCTATAACGTTACGCTCATCCGCTGCAATCACTGAATACGATACCCGTCGGACGATGACAGAAATATTGAAAGCAAAGCTGTGCCCACTCGTGTCCGAATTGTGTGGCATGAAAATACCATCTAAGTTGCCTCCGCTGCTTTAACTGATTTTGACATATTATTATCGCTGAAAACTGCGAGCAAGTTATGACACTCGAAACGTCTACTCACCTGTGTTGTGATGTCGAGGCACTGCTTGCCGGAAGTCACCGCTTTTATAAACTGCGTTACAAATAAAATACAAAGAGTGAAAAAGATATCTGAGCCTTTTTCTATAGTCTGTCCGGACACTTATTTCTTAACTCTTCTAGACGCATAACCGACTTCCACTTTAGCTACAAGCCGATCAATACTCTTTTTGGTTGCCACTTGAAAGCCTGGCCAACAAAGAAGAAACCAAAACAGCCCCCTGTCGAAAAAAGTGTGTCATTACTGTAAAGTCTTGGTGTTTAAAGAGATAAATTTTTTTACTGCAAGGAAGGTAAAAAAAAGGACATCTACCCGCGGAGCTTAACGCGCAGAACCACCACGCGTAGCACGGAAATGTTTCGTACAGCCTGCGGGCAACATAATACGCTTTTTCACATAACGTCGTCTTGCGATAACAGGCGGTAGCATTTTTCCAAAAGTATTTGCCATCCTTTCTTAATTTAAATAACAAGGAGCCCTTTATCATCAAATAGGCCCACTAATGCTAGCAGATGAGAATGCATATTCATTTCTCTAAATTTATTTCCTAGATCCTCAAGCCGCTAATGAATTTTGACCGCATATTGTGGATCGTCCCAAATTACGCCATTGTTCAAGTTCTAGAGGTTATGCTCCGACGGACGAATTTTTATATTCGTTACCCTACAACAGCAAAGGAGAGAAGTTGTAACGTATGCAAAGTTTGTATCAATATTAATATGGAT